TTATGAGAATGGAACTGGAGTAGAGAAGAATGAAAGAAAGACAGCTGAATGGTATTAGTATCAAAAAGCTGCTGAACAAGGAGATGCTGATTCACAGTATAATCTTGTCTTGTGTTGTAAGAATGGAACTGGAGTAGAAAAGGATGAACAAAAGGCAGTTGAATGGTATCAAAAAGCTGCTGAACAAGGAGATGTTGATTCACAGTATAATCTTGCATTGTGTTATAAGAATGGAATTGGAGTAGGAAAAGATGAAAAAAAGGTAGTTGAATGGTTTCAAAAAGCTGCTGAACAAGGACATGCCAGGGCACAATATAATCTTGACTGTGTTATGAGAATGGAACTGGAGTAGAGAAGAATGAAAGAAAGACAGCTGAATGGTATTAGTATCAAAAAGCTGCTGAACGAGGAGATGCTGATTCACAGTATAATCTTGTCTTGTGTTGTAAGAATGGAACTGGAGTAGAAAAGAATAAACAAAAAGGTAGTTGAATGGTATCAAAAAGCAGCTAAGCAAGGGTATGCTGGGGCACAATATAATCTTGCTTTGTGTTATGAGAATGGAATTGGAGTAGAAATTGATAAAAAGAAGGCAGTTGATAGTTGAATGGTACCAAAAAGCAGCTACACAAGGGGATGCAAATGCACAAATTAATCTTGCCTCATGCTATGCAAATGGAACTGGAGTAGAAAAAGATGAACAAAATTAAAATGCAGTTAAATGGTACAAAAAAGCAGCTGATCAAGAGTACACAGATGCACAAAATAATTTTGCCTTGTGTTATACGCATGGAACTGGGGTAAGAAAAGATGAAAGAAAAGCAGTTGAATGGTATCAAAAAGCAGCTGAACAAGGAGATGCTAATGCCCAATACAATCTTGGTAATTGTTATCATTTTGGAACTGGAGTGGAAAAGAATGAACAAAAGGCAGTTGAATGGTATCAGAAAGCAGCTGAACAGGAAAATACTAATGCACAAAATAGTTTTGGTAACTGTTATTACCTTGGAACTGGAATAGAAAAGAATGAACACAAAGCAGTTGAATGGTATCAAAATGCAGCAAGACGAGAAAATGCCAGTGCACAATATAGTCTTGCCTTGTGTTATGAGGATGGAACTGGAGTAGAAAAGAATGAACAAAAGGCAGTTGAATTGTATCAAAAAGCAGCAGAACAAGGACATGTTAATGCTCAGTATAATCTTGGTAATTGTTACCATTTTGGATATGGAATTGGAATGGAAAAGAATGAAGAAAAAGCAGTTGAATGGTATCAAAAAGCAGCTGATCAAGGACATGTCAAGGCACAATGTAATATTGGTTGGTATTATGTGAATGGAATTGGAATAGAAAAGGATGAACAAAAAGCAGTTAAATGGTATCAAAATGCTGCTGAACGAGGACATGCTAGTGCACAATATAATTTTGCCTTATGTTATAAATATGGAATTGGGGTAGAAAAGGATGAACAAAAAGCAGTTAAATGGTATCAAAAAGCTGCTGAGCAAGGGGATGTTAATGCACAATATAATCTTGCCTTGTGTTATGAAAATGGAGTTGGAGTAGAAAAGGATGAGCAAAAGGCAACTGAATGGTATCAAAAAGCTGCTGAACAAGGAGATACTGGTGCACAAAACAACCTTGGTCGTTACTATCAAAGTAGTCTTAGATCAAAAATAAATTATGAAAAGGCTGTTGAATTATTTCAACAAGCTGCTGTTAATGGTGATTCTTATGGACAGTATAACCTTGGCCGTCACTATGAGAAAGGGTATGGACTGAATAAAGATCTTAAAAAAGCAATTGAATTGTATGAAAAAGCAGCCAGTCAAGAAAATGCCTTTGCACAAAATGATCTTGGTATATGTTACAAGAATGGAACTGGAGTAGAAAAAAATATTCAAAAGGCTGTTGAATTGTTCCAGAAAGCTGCTGAACAAGGGCATGCATATGGACAATATAATCTTGGTTATTGTTATGAAAATGGGATTGGTGTAGAAGAAAATGAACGAAAAGCAATAAAGTTGTATGAAAAGGCAGCTGAACAAGGATACAGCAAGGCAAAAAATAGAATTTACGTTTTACAACATGATGATAAATTCAAGTTAAAAAGAAAAATTCAAGAATTAAATAATCTATATAAAAATTAAGTAACTGGCAATGTAAATTATTATATTTGTTAAAATAAAGTTATTATTATCAGGTTTAAGTTATTGCAAGGGTTATGGTCAGCAAATTTTAATTGGAGTTTGGGCAGCAATTAGATCTATTACATATTACATTGACGTTTGGTCAACAGGATGTTACCTAACTTGGCTCACGTATCATTTCATTCAGTCTAACAACAAGAACTAAGTTTCATAAATAGCTCTTTTCTTTTTTGATATACTAATACGAAGTATTTTCTACCTGTACCCAAATAAGGTACCTACGATTGTAATAACAACAGCGGTTATTCTATTATGAAGTCGAATTGGAATAACCATTGTTAAATTTGAACAGGGCACGCTTTAATTTGGTGTTTCGACTGGTCAGGTATTCGTCACTGTTTGTTCGTAAACTAATACTATCGTTTCGATAATTAATTAGAGACTCTATGCTATTCACATAATTGATTAACAGATAATTTTACTGCTAACCGTTTATGGATTAGCAATTAACCGACAGCTTGAGTAAGCTGTTTGCGCAGATAATTGATTATGTTTCAGCGATGATAGAATAAAGGAATAAGATTTTGATTTGTTCGTTTATTATAAACATTTCTGTGGACATATCTAATTACATGTCAAACTGACTACATGCGTTATTTCGATGATAGGATGAGCTGCTAACCATCGCGGAAAATGTGGGACGTATTTATAAGCTAAAATTAGCCATGGCGTTTGGGCGTCGCAGGCATCTTGGAACGCCTACTACTGTTCTAAAATTAATGGAAATAGTAATAATAATAGATTAATAAATAAAATACAACAGTTATATATAGATGAATATAGGTATGCTAGGGAAAATCTACAAGTACAAAAGACGTCGTTGTATACGCATTAAAAATGTTGTGGTCGTTTAAGAATCACTATAAGACAACGATTATAAACGTAAGATGGTTAAAACAACAGTAGCAGACGTTGAGAGATTCGTGCAAACATGTCTTCAGTCTTTATTTTATTCGAAATTCCTCTCACAAAGATATAATTCTCATAACTCACTATATCGATGAAATACTGTACAGTACATATATTTTTATATCTTGATACTTTTATTTAAGATTGCGATAAAATAATAAGATGTACATTTCCCGTAAACTGTAAATATTTTGTGGGGTATTGTGTTTACTGTCTTTGCTTTATATGTAATAGATCAATGTCATTAACGTCAACATTTAATATTAATACTGTTAAAGTTAACATGTCTGTATATCCAACTCTGTTTAAGTTAATGGAATACAGTTGACGCTGCCTATACCGAACCAGAATCACCAGACCCGATTTTTCTTAATAATAAATCTGGTTATAACGCAAGCTCTGGTTCTCTGGTTGTAACGAACTAAATTCTCCAGCCGGTCAGTTCGGTATAGGCAGCGTCAACTGTATTCTCATACAAGAAATACTAAGCGATCGTCTATGAGAAAGTTGTAACGTGGGTCAAAAGCGGCTTGAGAAGGCGTGGGTACATACTGTACATCTTTACTTTGTGAGACGGGAAATGATTTGATTTCTGATCACCTAATCAAACCGCTACAATAACAGTGGAGCCATTATGATAATATAAATAATTTACTAGTTCGATGATAAATTGAGAGAGAGTACTACTCTTCAAGGAGGACCACGTTCAGTGTACAATATTGGTATAATTTGTAATTTATTATAACTCATGGTCATATCTGGAAAGATTTGTATTCCTTTGCAGAATACGAACGTTAAATATGGCCTCGTCGCTATTTTCACATACGCTAAAAAATGCAGGCAAAGATCTCATCCAAAACGAGCAACGACAATCTTTACGTGTAATATTAAAAAGGTTAGTGCTTCTTGTACTTGATTTCCGTTTTCCCCAATGTTTATTGTGTTCCACACACAATGTTGACTGCCTGATATGATTAATGATCTACCAAAAATTTACAACTCAAAAACCGTGGGGTGAGAGGTAAACGATTCCCCACACAGAATGGCTCTCTCACGTTCAAACCGCATACTTTCTTTTTCCTCACTCTTCTGCAATACTCGTCCGTCTTTGTCAATTTCCTGTCGAAACTCTGTCCTCGCGTTCACCCGTTCTTACGCAACCAATAATGGCGATCGGGAGGAGTCCACAGAGAAGAAATCAGGAATCAAAAGATTGTTCAGCTCTTCAAGTAGCTCGAACGAACAGTCTGAGAGTACAGCTAGTATCATTACTAAGGTATTACGTGGTGATGATTCTGTTGAGGACACGTACTCGAAATTGCTTGCGCGTGGGAAGTACGTTCACGAGATGCAAAGTAAGTAGAATAACAAATATCGAGTCTTTGTGATTGTTGTGAATGGAAAGATATCGATTAATAATTGAATCGTTCATACAACAGAACATCGAGTTAAGCCTGAATACGTTGAGGATTACATTAAGCTCGTGTAAGTTGCAAACGCAATAATAAAATTAATGGCAATTCGTTTCTAATATTTTTTTTCTAATATTCTTTTGCACAGTTCTATTCACTTTCCGAGAATAGCCAAGAACCCAGAGAATGCCGTCCATCTGTGTGGAAGTTGGCAGGCTGATATTGGTGAATTGGATACATTTGGTAAGTGTATCAATTGAGTCCGTAGATGCGGATAAATCACCAAACTAATGTAATACCTTCGTTTGTTAACTGTGCCTCGTTACAATTAGTTCATATGTGGGAATATCAGGGATACACTCGATATGAACAGACACAGCAGAAATTAAGGAATGACCCGGTTAGTAAATAACTTGTAGATTCTAGTGGTTATACGGGAACGTCTCTGCTTATACGTACTATCGAACGGTATCACAGGAATATATCAAGTTTGTGAAAGAATTAAGACCAATGCTACGTAGCCGTGATAACCAGATATGTCTCGAATTTGCGTTCTGGGTAACTAGTCCGCCGGCTGAACATGGTGGCATATACGAATTGAGATCTTACCAACTGCGGGTAGGTTAAACACCTTTTGCCTCTTATTGACTGTTAGTGTTGCTGTAATGCGCGTCAACCACTGATGATTGCTCTAACTTTTATAACAGCCTGGTCATTTACTAGAGTGGGAGTCCTACTGGTAAGCATCTCGAAGATCAAACCATGTACGAAGATGTATGCTAACATTCTTCCTGACAAAAAGGCGCAAGGGGCTTGAATGTAGAAGGCAATTCTGTCAACCTGTTGGCGCTTGGTTTGCTCAACTGGGCAGACTGAATCAAGTTCATCATATGTGGCAATATGCGTAAGACAATAATAAACAAGAATTGGGGGAGGGGGTTTGTTTTTTTCTTTTCCTTTTTCTTGTGGCGACTAATTGCTTCTTTTTCTTAGTGATCTTGAAACTCGTAAGAGTACTCGCGAAGCAGCATGGCATATCGACGGATGGGCTGAAACGGTTTACAAGACTGGTAATGTAAAATGATGTGAGATAAGCGTTCAATGTATATTATTCGTAATAATAATGATTTATCAATTTTTTTAGTACGCCTGGTCGAGAAGATGGATGCGTGGATTCTGAAACCTCTCCCGTTCAGTCCGCTTCGATAAAATAATGATATGCTCTATCATAATGAACTATTTATACTGTCATTGATTGATAGTTATAGATGTTTGTTGTCTGTGACTGTAAAATAAATTATTCACGTCGAGTTTACACAGCAACTTAAGTTTAATGTCATATTACCACCATAACAACTTCCGTAATTCAACTAATGCTTAAACCCATGTCGATTGTACTAACATACATAATCTTGAATAAAATGGAGAATCATAACGTTAATCTGAGTAGCAACAAAAGCAGGTATTAATCAGGTTTGCTAGAGTAGTGTGTTGGGCTTTGCAGCTTTTCAATTCTTCAGAGAGTTCTAGTTTATTAGGGTTTGCTCTAGGGTAATTTGTTCCTGCTGCTCTATTTGATGTCACAACTTCTTCAATAGGATGTTTTATTGTGAGATACTACATTCAATAATATGTAATCTGTTTTTTCGGTTTGCCCCATATGGAACGAGAATACACAAAACGTGACCCACTACGGAGTAAATCGCAAAATTTTCATTGGATAATCGTTATTACTGTTAGCGCAAATTGCCGACATTATTGCCTACGAAAATGCCCTCCCTGCTTGGTGAGGGCCTTTATTATTTCCATCAGCCAACTTTTTTTCTTTAAGGATTCGGCAACAAGTTAGACTGTCCATACGGTAATCCGAATCATACGACATATCCAAACGAGACGAGGATTGGAATGTGACCCATTTATTACGCGTTCAATAACTCACTGCAATGTTTTATTCATTAACTGTGGTGCGGTTCAAACTTTATGTTGCCGACGAGGGCATCTTGACATTACCCATGTTAACAACCAGTCATTCTGATTGAATTGATTAACACCAGATCAAATCTCATAATGCTTGAAATTCGAATCAAACTAACACGGCACATATTTTCACTGTTTCCTTGGACGAAATCAACCACGCAGGTTAGCGATTAATAACTTCCTACTTACTATGCCCAGAACCATATCAAGTTGGGATATTCCGTTACGGAATACACGAGTTTTATTTATTAATTTGTTATCAAAAATTTACTAAATTAGAATGCAAAACGTAAATTGTCTCTTTATGACAAAATAATCTTAAAAGACGTTTCCAATAAATGACAACTAGCAAATTTTTATTACACATTAAAGTCGCTCGTTTCTGTCATCTGACTTCATTGACGTGGACTACTTGTTAAAGTAGATTATAATATATGAATAAACAGTTCTAAAAGAAAACTTTGTTATAAAGTTATTATTAAATGGACCTTATTTAAACTGGACTTTATCACAAAATATGCTTGTATACAAACTCCCTTGATATGGTCATTATTTCGCTATCCTCTAGCAGCACAATTTGTAGGCAATCTTCCTTGCTACAAATATTACTAGATACAATTGTAGTCACGCATCCGACGCCCACTAAGTCAATCGTCTAGGTTTTTATTCGTATGAACAAAAACTGATAGCAGCAATAGTTCTCAGAATTCTTGGACAACTTCCTTTATGACGGTCATCAACTAGCAGAAAAGCTGTAGTGACTCATACCGAATCAGAGACTTCGATTTCGATTACGATAAAGAATGTAAGTAAAAAAACAAACACATGATACATCGCCTTCAAAACAGTAATAGTCGCGGAGGAAACTACCAACAACAGTTCTGGAAATAGAGCTTGCCAAAGAAAAACAATTGCAATTGGGACGAGTCAAGATATATTGTGAGTGGGGTTGCCGTTTGAACTGCTGACCCACATAACAAAATTTAAATTTTTGTGTTAAACCACTTGGCAATTGAATACTAGTATAATATACAAGAAGCATTCTCAACGGGCATGATTTGTCAATAATCTTAATATACTTGACTTTCATAAACGTCGTATTTTGTGGTGTCAATATCCTGGAAAAGTTTGAGACCCAGGCTATTAGAGATATATCATAAGTACAAACTCATAACTCTCAACAAGCAAAATAAAGCTTCCCAGTGGAAAGACGTATTTGGCAAGTGGAGAATAAATAACGTAATAGAATAATTGACCTTTTGATAGTGTTGGCAATGTCAATGTAACTGTACTTCACCACGCCAAGTCTCATTATACTTCTCTACTTTGCAACGTATGGACCTTATTAAATACACTCGAACATTAAGTGCACACCCTTCGTTAGATTCTTGACGCCATTTACTCTTCCTCCGCGACAATAGCGATTCATTAATAGTTAGTATCGAGAATTTGCAAAGTGTTTGATGTCAAACCAATTTTTTATAAGAACGAAATCTCTTAAATTTCGCATAAAGCAGTTTATACAGAACGTGTATAAGATAATTTTTACAATGCGCGACAGTAACATAATCACTTGTCCCAAAGTTTGAGTATTTTCCAAGTTGAAATTAGGTTAACCTCCCGAGTGTGGTCACATGTCTGATCAAAGTAAGATCTTATCTGATTATGACTGTCCGCAGTCTCTTTAAACAATCTCGCTTTGGAGAGTCTGTTTAATGGCTATATAAATATGCGGTTTACGGTCAACGATAATAATAAGTGCTGTCGTAAAGTTTTGACGATTAAAAGAATTACTGGTGCGTTAACTATTGGTTGTTGAAACCCTCTCTGAGGACTAATTCTTGCATTCATTACCGCATAAACATATTCAACATTGTTCAGAATAGACTCGAACTTCATTGGACGATTGAAACTATTCTGCGATATTAATAACATGTGTTCGTAACACATAGTCATCCAAATCCACATAAATTTCTGCGGCCACAATAGATGTCCGCTACGCAAGCGCACCGACTCATTCTTCCTCCGTCAAATTCTCACTTACTGCCGTTCAAATGTCCTCGTTTACACACTCATACTCACAATCGGAGTCTTCTTCTTCATACCAGGAACAACAAGCATCTCGTGTCAGACACTCGCGTCCCTTTCGTCCGTTTTCGTCGTCTTCCAGGGCTCATATATTCGAGCCAGATCAACCATGTAGCCTTAACGAGTTTCTTGGCGGAGTGAATTACGATCGGACCAAAGACGACATCCAAATATATGATCGGGCAGTAAAGTTCTTTCGCAACGTATTAAATAAAATAGAAATTGATTGTCAGTGGCACCATTTTAAATTCATGGTATTCGAAGAGGATGATAGGTTTTACGTAAAGGTTTCCAGAGTGAAAAATCGACCACCGCCAGCGAAAGTTGCCAATTGCTTGTCATGCGATAGCGAATCAGAAACCAACCGTGCGTCTTCTCTTCCGTATCCATCAACAACCCTTGAATGTGAGAAGCTTCATCGGCTATGGTTTGATGCTAAAGCTCGACCAATGTTTATCGTTACTCCCGAACGTCATGTAGAACGATTGTCTGATTGTACAGATGAAGAGATATTTGAAATGTTTCATTTGACATGTCAGTTATTGGACGAAGAAGCAAGGTCGACTAATGCGCCATGGGAAACTGGCATGTTTGAGAGAATGACGTTGAATCATGGGAATGCGAGAAATTTGGAGCATTTACATTTAAAAATCTGGGTAAACGAAAGCAAATTTGAGTGGATGAAAAGTAGATGGGATAAGGAGAAAAGGGAAAAGTTTGAGTTGCTCGAGTCTGGATTGTATCGGAGAGATAGCAGGGTGAAGAGGATTCCTCGGCGAAAATGGCATAAGGGAAGAGAGGGAGAGAGGGAACGAGAGGGAAAGCGAGAAGTTCGGTCTTTTTGATTTTCTAGTATTGTTGTTATAATGTATATTTAATAATATTGATAAAACTGACGTTAGAGTTTAAGGATAATTTATATTTTCAATAAAGATGGAAAATTTGACGCTAAAAGATTAAATTGAGCTAGTTCAAATAGACTTGTGTGTGTTTTTGACAGTGTTTCAGGGTATGCATACATAGTGCATTAAAAAAAAAAAAGACCCTTTATTTGTCAAGTATATACGTTGTTTAAAATTCCCGCTGTCTGTTCTAGTTAGCACCGCGAATATCTGTGCACAGTTACCCCACAACAAAAAAAAACTTTCTATGATGGTAAGCATGTTTATTCTATATGCAGACAATATTATCTTCTCTAATTAGTAATTTGCACTTTGACGAGAGAATCTTCTACGATAAAGTATGTGGCAATACAATCTGTATTAATAATTGTTTATTATTATTATTATTATTTACGTCATGTTGACTTGTATCATTAGTATTAGAACACATGATTGTTCAGTAAGCTTCCCATAGTTTTTCGTCCCACCCTGATATATTTTAACACATCAACAGCTACATATACACCTTACTCAATGTCGCTGTTGAATGATCCAGAGTAAGTCGTAGTGTTATTTGTCCAATATAACCCTGCGGCATTTCACGCGAATTCTTTTACTTATTCCCCCACACTCACCCCAGCCGATCTCTTCTTTCAACTGTTTTTTTAAAGCTACCTCATACACCACCTCAGAATAGGCTACCTACGTCGCGTAGACGACCGAATCGGTGGCCGAATAATAACATTCGACCCGACCACTCTATCAAATGACTATATCAAAGCGGCTGGATCTTCTTATCCAGAGATGCAAGAATGTTATTCGCCCAGTACGAATACGTTGGGTAATGACTACTTCAGTCGAAGTATAGGTAGTAGTTCGCATATTGGTGTTTCCCCTGGTGGTGTGAAAATAGGCGGTCGAAGAAGAGCAGGCTCTGGTCAGCAGGCAAAGTTTGGTACTAATAATACAATGGACAGTGAGGATGGGAGCGATCTGGACAATAGGTAATTAATTCAGTTAAAACAAGAGAGCAGGTAGTCTATGAGAATTACTGTTCCATTCACTTGAGACCCATTTATTCGGACAATACGCAACAATGCATCTACCTAATTACAAACATTATTTGAGTTTTCCTTATCGTATTTCCTTGATATTTTTTAGCAATCGAGAATTTTTGTTTTTAGCAATTGAACTTGATCTAATGTCTACAATTCTCATCCAATACATGAAAACAAAAAAAAAAAAAAGCAAAAGCCAAGAACCATTCTTTACCAAGTTGGACCTTCCGCAGCAAAACGTTGCCGCTCCACCTGTTTTTGTGACATCACCACCGAAACCATCTAACGCTCGGCGTGAACCAGCAGCGGCGGCAGCGCAATCATATTCATCCGGCGGTGCACTCAAGACATCTCCGGATAGCATTACCGCACTCTCCTCAACGGACCAGACACCTCAACTATCGCCCACAACTTCTGCTGAAAGTGATCCAGTAATGCTGATCGGACGACGAGAATCTAGTGGATCATTATTACATACTAACGGAACATTACCATCCACACCACCGCCTCGGCGAGCTTTGTCGGAAGCAGAAGTCAGAGAGTTTATACCCGATCCACCTCAACCAATAGTTAGACCAAAGCCCTTTTCGGCCCTGTCGGCTATGATAGAGGAGAAGAAAAATAAAGAGGACAATCCATTTGCTGAAAATTACAGCTATTATTCCGGCAAAGGTGACCTGAAGCCAATAAAGCTTCAGATTTATCTTCCATTTAGTACAGAGCCAAAAAGACCATTGAACGTTGTGGTTAAGAGTGATGCAACGGTGGAGAAGGTTATTGGGTATTGTCTGTATCAGTATTGGGAGGAGAAGAGAAAGCCCATTTTGGAACCGCAAATGTGTAATATTTCAAATTGGATTATGCGAATTGTTGAAGATGACGGTGAAATAGATGAGGACCTTTTAGGTGAGCGTCGTTTGGGTTGAGAATGTATTAATAGGGTCTTGATGGGTACTAATAGAAAGTTATGATACTATCGAGTATATACAATGGATCGGTTGGACGTTTGTTCTTAATTAACAAACATTTTTGTTGATAGCTTTGGATAGGACTAGAAACATATCCAAATTCCAGTTCAATCAGTTCGCATTATGTGAAGCCAACCCGGAACAAGGTATTTTTATCCGGCAATTTAAAAAAATTTTACTTTGCCCAGTTTCCCATTCTCACAACCTTTTATTTCATAACCAACTCGCAACAATTAGGAACGTCTAAATCTCAAGTTACAAACAAAGATTCTCTTCCGTCTATATCCACAGTCGCTACAAATGGAAGTTCAACAATCACCGTCCCAACAACACGGGCGAGCACCAATACCGAAACGGTTACGTCTTTCGCACCCCCTATCGATCTCGCAAACCAAGTATTCCTTCGTATTCGTCTCACGCCATACTCTGAAATCACTCACACAACTACAATCAACGTTCCCCCTGATCAGCATTTGTCTGATGTGCTGGAAGGCGTATGTAGGAAAAGGAAATTGGATAGTAAAGAGTATACGTTTAAGATGGCAGAAGAGAATGTATTCTTGGAATTGGACAAGACCGTCGAAAGTGTTGGAAATGCTGAAATTGCTTTGGTGAAGAAGCCAAACGAAAGGTCTAATTCTGTGGATAGTACTAGTGGCAACAGTATGTATTCCCGAAAGAGCGATGTTTATCGGATGTATTGGATATCGGATATTGATTTGCTTTCATCTTGTAGGTGTAAGAGGCACTAAAAAGGGGGGAAAGAGAGGATCAATGGATCCACAGCCCACGTACATCACTTCTAATGACTATACGTCTGTATACCAGGTGAGTTGGTAGTTTGGTGTGGTACTTGTGTAATCATATGTGTCAGCATACTCGTAACTAATTAATATTTATTACAGAAATATACCGTCAATCGGAAGACGCCAATGTTTGTTGGCCGTCATCATGAGCGTATACTCGCAATAGATGGTGATTATATTCACATTATGCCATCCGAGACGAGGACTATGTTTGACACAATGAAAACAGTATGTTAATTGCCGACTAGTTCAAATAGCTTTACTTGAAATACATTTATCACTTTTTAACTTGTCTATTTCAAATCCATACAGTCGTCGTATCATATATCCAATATTCTATCTTGTAAGCCAACGAAAAAAGTGTCAGCAAATTTCAAACTAGTTATTAATCGAGATACTGGCAACAAGACCTATGACTTTGAAGCAGAATCAGCAAAGGTGGCAAGTAAGTGGCGAGACAATTGGTTTACTCCTTGTATGAGGTTTTATCATATTAATAACACCTTTATTTTATGACATGACTATTCAGACGAGATATGTACGAAAATTCGATGGCTCATGGGAATACATAAAAACGAACAAGCTAGAGTACGATGACGCTCGTATCATCGCCATAACTATTACCGTCATCACCACTACACACCATTATCACCGTAATTATTATCATTACCCGTCATCACCAATCACCCATTGTCAATAGTATTGATTTCGTCTTGTAAATTATTCTCACCGTGCCGATACCTCGTCATCGCGAAGAGGTCTCGCTATATGATAATGTTTATTATTAGTATTAGTATCCTGTAAATAGAAGTTGGAAAATTTCTGGATATCGCCAAGTGAATAAAAATGTATCTATTATGAATGAATATGGAAATGAAAATATTACTACAGTCGATTGCCGATAATTCGACCACTTGCGGTTGGCGGTCATCGGTCGAATTAATTTAAAAGTCGAATTAACGAATATCCAATCATATGTACTTAATGGTAACACGATTTTATTATTTGAAAACTTAGCATAAGAAACTTGTAATAGATGGTTGCTTAAGCAAAGATAAACGATGCAATTCAA